TGCTTTGTTTTGTTTTTGGTTTTCCCTTTTTTTTTTTTTTTTTTTTTTTTGGTCTTTTTGAGACAGGGTCTCCCTGTAGCCCCGACTGTCCTGGAACTCACTATGTAGACCAGGCTGGCCTTGAACTCACGGAGATCCACCTGCCTCTGCCTCCCGAGTGCTGGGATTAAAGGCGTGCACCACCACGCCCGGCTGGATTCAGTTTTTAAGTGCCTGTTTGTATCACACTGGCTCTATTCAGTAGCATCTTTGTTTAGTATATGCAAAACCCAAGACTGAAAGTGGTTAAGTGACTTACGCCAAGTCAGCTGGCATGATGCGACACGACTGGTATGGGAGATTGCTCTTTCACCCAGGGTCAGCCTGCTACTTCTTAATTATGGATATGAGTTAGAAGAAAAAAGTGGTACCCTCCTGTGTCCTGTGAGCCCCTGGATATGTTGCAGAGCTAGCTCTCAACCCAATGCCAGTATAGAAGGTGGTCCCACAGTGAAGGAGGTCTGCAGAGAGCTTTGGACTGTGTGTTTTCACTGAGTACTTCTGAGCAGACTATAAATTACTCTCATATCTATATCCTAGAGTAATAAATTCTACACTAACTCCTATCCTCCATAATATGTACTCAAAGACAAAAGGGAGTAGAGGTGGGTGTGGTGGCTCATGCCTTTTATCCCAGTACTCCGAAGGCAGAGGCTGCTAGATCTCTGTGTGATCGAAGCCAGTCTGGTCTACATAGTGAGTTCTAGGCCAGCTGTGGCTACAGCAGGGAGTCCCTGTCTCAAAAAGACCAAAAGGGAAAAAAAGGAAGGAGGAAGTAAATCCTGCTCCAGATTGAAAGTTTCCTGTGGCTGGACATGGCTTTTGCTTTGATCCATCCCTCTCATTCCTGTCCCTGTGAATCAGGGTAAAATGGACTGTAAACCAGTCTACTAGGGGTGATGGTTCAGCTGCTGGGCAGGGCTGATTCCAGCTGCTCTTCCTTCGTGCCTTTGTCCTGGCTTTGCCAGGGAGCAGCACAGCCTCCCTGGTAACTCGCTTCCTTTGCCTCTCTGCTATAGCTGGTCCGGGACAATGCAGATTTACGCTGTGAACTCCCCAAGCTGGAGAAGCGACTACGGGCCACTGCAGAGCGTGTTAAGGCCCTGGAGAGTGCACTGAAAGAGGCCAAGGAGAATGCCATGCGGGACCGCAAGCGCTACCAGCAGGAAGTGGATCGCATCAAGGAGGCCGTTAGAGCCAAGAACATGGCCAGGAGAGCACATTCAGCCCAGATCGGTATGTGTGTGTCAAAGGTTAGGAGCTACAGTGACTCTTCCCTAGGACCTCACGTCTGAAAGGCTATGATGGAGCCTGCTGTCCTCCCAGCATGCCATGTTCATCCTGGGAAAATGTGTCTCAGGCACTATTGTCCTTCCGGAAATATTCCGACATAGAGTGTGTTTTTCAGAACTGTGTGCTGAGCCAGAGAAGCCAGCTGTGCTGTAGGCAAAGGTCTTTGAATGTAAACAGAGGTACATGCTTAGAAATATTGGAAGATACGAATATTTCTCAGCAGGCCCCTAAGGTCCTTTGTGTTCTGCACCAGGCAGGACCATAAGGGAGCCCATCTGTCAGCCTCAGGAAAAGCCTCACTGGTTTCGAAGTGATTTGGAAAGAGTCTCTTGGCAGCAGTGAGCAGTGTGCTGATGCAAGTTGATCAGTGGCCTGAAATTCACTAAGACCTGTGTGGAGTTGGGCATTTTGCTCACATAGGAATGGCTGGTGTGGATACTCAGTCATTGGTGCCAGGTTAAAGCCGTAGGAATAAAGGGGCCTTACGGATATTCTCTAGAGTGTTTTTTTAAAAAAGTTGAAACATCTCTAGTAACACATAGTGTTATTTCCCATCAGATTCGGTTTTGCAGCTCTATTGTGAATCAGCAGCTTTGCATTTCCATCATTTTTTAAATCCCTTAGATTAGTGCTTTACTAAATTTACTAGGTTTATTACGCTTTGAGAGTCTACTGAAAACTATGGACTCTCTCTAGAAAACTCAGCAGTTTCCGGGGATACACACATTCTTTTGAAATCTGGGGCGGGGCGGGGGCAGTGGATTCACTGAGAAACCAAAAGTTTCTCATTTTCACTTGTTTATTCATTTCAACTTTTCACATTGAAAAATAAGTCGATTGATATATAAGTTCTCTCTGTTCCCTAAATTATGTGGGTGTCGTGGATTTATTAATTGTACTTCTCAGAGGCTAAACCTCCAGCTTCCAGAAAGTCTGGTGGTAGGCACCTAGGTTGCTGTTTCTGTTCTTACTGAGGGTGGTTCTCTCTCCTTTATTTTGGATATAGCCAAGCCCATCCGCCCTGGACATTACCCAGCATCATCTCCAACAGCTGTCCATGCCGTCAGAGGAGGAGGCGGTGGCTCTTCAAACTCTACTCACTATCAGAAGTAAAAGCAGAGTGAGTTCCTGCAGTCTGGGGTGTTTTCTCTTTACAGCAGCCCCAGGGCCTACTTGGAGGCGGAGCCTCAGCCCAGCCTTCAGTCAGGCACACATAGTGACCTTAAAATAGAAGTTCAGCTCTACTCCAGGATAGCCCTGGCCGGTCCAGGTGAGCAGAAACCTGGGCCTAACCTCATCTCCGTCTAGAGCTTTGGAGTCTTCTGGCCACGTCACAGGGGCCAGTGCCACCCTGAGCCAGGCCTGGCCTAGATTACCTCTCAGTATGGTGATATATAGTGACTTACCAGAACTTTCTTTGGTCAGTGGGGCTTCCCGCCTCCAACGTAGTTGACATCCCAAAGATGTCAACTGTGTGTCAGCTGTTTTTACACAAACAGAAGGTGGACAGTGGGGGAGGGGGTGCTTTAGTCTTTGGAACTAAATATAAAATGCCAGGTATAGTCATGTTTATACTCGCAGTGCACTTCCACAAGTAGAATTCTAAAAAAGCGTGCTGATTATATTCAGGTGGGACTAGGCCACTTTTCTTTGAGTTAGTAGTCTATGAGCTTCACTTCCTGCAACCTACATGCCCAATGTTGCTCTGCCAACAAAAAGAAAGAAGTGATGCGCTTTAGAAAGAGAAAGGGGGAAGAGCCAAGTCTGTTCTTGGTGACAAAAATGAGAACAAGGTTCCTGGTTGGACTGGCAGGTGGGCAACAGAGGGACAGGAAACTTTGTTCAGAAAAACTCAGACTTTGAGTGTCTGGATGGGAGGAGATGATCACAAATATTCCTGGGCTCTGAACTCCCGACTAGGGAAGCTAGCTTACAAGCTTTGATGATGAAAGGCAACTCAAATGAACCCTGATTCCTCATCCAGTCCTTTCTGTATCAGGATATGAAGATGAGTGGGGGTGGGCAGAGCCCTTACTTGGGGTGCAATGACAGCAGTGCCAATGCTCAGCTGAAAACCTCAAGGAGGACACTTCACTGGCTTTACTCCACCAAGGAGCAGGTCAGGGTTTGGTCAGGTGAGTAGGAACAGGAGGCAGGCCACGGCAGCCTGCCTGGGCAACATGCTCTCTGGTATCTACTATATCTTAAATGGGGTTGCCAGTGAGCCAACTATTCATCTCCAGCCTCTGCTTCTAATCTGAAATAAAATGAAATTGATGTTACAGAATTGTTTTTGATTGAATGTTGTCAGTTACTGAGGCTGAAACCTGAAAGGGAGGCAAGGTGGTGTTGGGTAGCTTAGAATAGAGGAGTCTTGGATTTTGGTGGGACTGGAGGTGGAGCGTAGGGTGGAGTATGTGCTTAGCATGCCCAGGACCTGGGTTCAATCCCTAGCAACAACAACACACAAAAACAATAATAAAAATGCCACCTAGGTACCAGAATACTTAGTGTGCGACAGGGCCTACCTGGTCTCAGTGCTTTTGCCAAGAATGGCCAGTGTTTTTGATGTCCACCAAAATTTGATCCTACATTCCTGTAGTAACCGTGGCTCTTGTGCAACAGCAGTGTCTTTCTCACGTAAAGGAAATGTGAGGGCTGTGAATAGTTGGTAAGAGACCACAGAAACCTGATATCTTGACTTAGACTCACAGTTCACTGTGTGTGTGCCCTCCCTCCTCAAGGTCACTTCATGGTCACCAGCAAGACTTCTACTAGACTTTCAGCCTCATGAAACACTCTTTCCAAGTGTTAGTATCCCAGGAGGAAGCAGGGGAGAGGCACAGCAGCATTCCTGGATGCAATCAGCCTCCTTTAAGTCACCTCCTCACATGATCCACCAAAGTTGGTATCTGTATCCAGGAAGGATTAGAGGCACGTGGCCACACTGGAGACAGGTAGCCATAACCTAGGCTGGAGAAGGCAATCCTTTAACTGGGTGCATCAGTGTCCCAAATGGGAATTGTATTGGTCAGGTTTAGTGTTGCTGTGACCATTATACCTGCAGAAAGTACTTAATGGAAAGAAGATTAACTTTGGTTTATGGCTTCAGAAGTTTCCGTCATGAAGGGAAAGGTATGGCAGAGTAGCTCAGTTCATGGTGGCAGGAGTTAGTGGTGGAGGTTCTTCATATCATGTTGGGCCAGAAACCAGAGAAGACAATGGGAACAGGGGCCAGGTGTACCTGTACAGACCCCATCTTTTAAAGCTTACACAGTCTCCACAAATATCACTACCAACTGCGTACAAGTGTTTAAAACATAAGCTTGAGGGCACTATATCAAATTCAAACCATAACAGGAATAGTGTTTTTATGGGGACAGAGAATGTGTGTTAGGTTGGATACTTAGCATTCTGCATTTGCTGAACGCCTGCTATGCAGCAGCAGCAGCTCTGGGCCACATGCAATCTACAGGTTACTCATTTGATGAAAGCTTATTGAACTCTGAATTTGTGGCTCCCAACAAATCCCTAGTAAATATACTGGTCCAGAATTCCACAGACTGTGTAATGAACAAGCACCCTCCTCTTGGGATCCAGTAAAGGTCTACCAAACTCACTGTAGTCCTGGTTGGCCTGGAACTCACTGTGTAGTCTAGGCTTTCCTTGAACTCACAGTAGTCCTCCTTCCTGAGTGTTGGGATCACAGATGTGAGCTACCACACTGGGTTCTAAACTCAACGTTTGTATAAAGTACATACAACCAGTATTTGATCATTTGCCACCAGTGTGGCCTTGTCTTATACCAAAGATTGAAAACTCAGAACATCTCAGACAGATGTGCTGCCACACACTTGTAATCCCAGCATTGGGAGGTAGAGACTGGAGGATCAGAAGTTCAAGGTTGTCCTTACATCATCAGCTACATACTGAGTTCAGTACAAGGCTAGCCTGGGCTACAGAGAGCCTGTCTCAAAAAAAAAAAAAATCAGAACTTCTGGTGAGACTTTCAAGACCTCCAGAGAAACTGAACTATGACAATTCCTTTCTCTCCCTACTCAACAAGTTACAAGTGGTTTTTGATTATTTGACCTAAAACTGAAGCCTCTTTAATATACTTTATCCATCCAGATCCTATAGCAAATGCTTTTCTCACAATGTCACAACATAAACACGCATTAGGATGTGTGGCTGAGGGGACTGGTGTTGGACAGGGATGTGGGATTTGGGGGCATCAGCAATTCTACTTTCTTCACTACTTAACCTCCTCTTCTGTGGAATGGGGAGATCTATTACCTGTTCACTGGCACTGGTAGGAGGCTTAAATAAGTTCTGTTTCTAAGCTGTGTGGCATATAACAAGTGCTTAATACAAATGGCATTGCTGGTATAGATGAGCAGCAGAATGTGGCCTATAGTCTCATTGGTTGATAAAGCTTAACGTGTTCTCCTTAGTGGAAATGGTAAACACCAAAGTGCTTTTCTGACTCTTGCAAGCACTCAGCTCTTCTCACACCAGCCAACACCAGCAGGTGTCCTCCAGTTTTATTCTGACACTATCCGCCTGGAGGTGGTAGCATCAAACCCCACACACTAAGGTCTCTGCCCTTCAGGATACCCTCCTCTTATTCAGATGCCAACTGGGTCACTGTGACCTGTGCTTCTGGCCAACCACCTATAAATCAGGGCTCCCACAGCCCCTCCTCAGACTCAACTAACTTAGCAGAGTAGCCCACAGAATTGATGGAATCATTTCACTCATATTTATCTGATTAGTAAAAAAAAAAAAAAAAACCCAAAGGATATAGATGAAGAGTAGGTAGGAGAAATGCATTGGGCAACATGAGTGTAGATGTGGAGGCTCTGTTCCTTCTGCAGGTGCAGCCCCTGCCAGGTGATGTATTCAGCATGCATCCAGCGACCCGGCTGCCCCCACATGCAAGCCTTTCATTAAGCCTTCATGCTTAATGAAATTATTAGCCATTTGGTAAATAATTAAGCCTTCAGTTCCTCTTATATGAGGTTGAGTTTGGGAGGTGACAGTGGGGGCCATAGCTTCCTCTTCACATGGTGAGTCGTCTAGCAACAGTCCCATCCTGAGGTCATCCAGGTACCACCAGCCACCAGCCATCTCATTAACCTATAAATATCACTCATCCTTGGAGAGATTCTGAGGGCTTTAAGAGTTTAGGAACCAGGGTCCTAGATGAAATATTTTTATTATATCACAATTTCATATCCTTCACTTTATTCAGTTGTTATGAAATAGTTCTTTGTCTCTCCATAGTACATTATAACCATTGAGTAGGGACAGCCCATGACTGACTAAGCATCTGATTTGGTGTTTTGCACGGTTATAAGAGCTTTTGAAGGTAATATCTTTTATTTATTTGAAAGTTATAAGGAGAACACTGACTGTGTAAGAAAGGCCTGGGTATTCATCAGTGGAGATTAGAGAAAGGGTAGTTAACCAGTAGAACAGGAATTACAATTGGAAATGAGGAAATGTTGAATCATTTTCTAAAAAGATGTATTTAGTTTTATTTTTTGTGTATGAGTGGTATGTCTGCATGCACTCTTAAACACTGAGCTATCTCTCTAGCCCTGAAATGTTGTCATTTTTAAAATGAATTAGAAGTCTACAATTCAGTGTTTACATGAAGAAAACAAAACTCCATGAGATTGTTTTGTTGAACTTTGGGACCCTCATTCTAAAGTGCCTATCTGGCAGAAATGCCTCTCCCACTGGCTCCCCCAGCTCCCTTTTGCAGCCAGAGTAACTTGCTCTTACTTGGGTGGCATCTAGACACCTGTAGGGTCTCCTGCATTCCACAGACCAGGACTATCTATACTCACAATAAATTTCAGAGCCATTGAGGAGGCCAACATTGAAAGTAAAAGAACCCATGATCATACTGCCAGCTTTGATCTCATCAGGTTCAAATCCACAGGGGTTGCTCCAGGGCGAGGCAGGACAAGCTTTCTCATCCCCAGAGCTGTTCAGGGGGCAGGCAGTCTGGTGCAGCATGCCAGAGACCCTTGGGAGTTTCCATCTCTGGCCTTGATGCCATTTCTTCTGTAACGTCGGGCAAGGTATTTGATTTCTGCCAGCCTCAGTTTT